TTTGCTAACGAGGTTACCATGAAGGCTACAGGATTATTCCTCGAGAGGAATGGATGATGCCAAGACGAATGAAAGAGCGGAAGATGGGAGGAGGAAGTGGAGGATCTGTTGGAAACGCGTGCACGGTACAGGGTTGGGTGCAAAAATATTTGCGTTGGATGAGAGAATAACTTCGAAATCGGCACGATATTCACGCCGAATATTTAAGGAAATATATTTAAGAAATATACATAGGAGATATTTCTTTTTTAAGAAGATCGATTCGACCAATTTTTCCAATTCGAACAATCCTAATTGTACGAATGACGTGAAGTTCGTCGTGATGCAATGAAAATTCGGAGGAATGCCACGACAACGGTTGTGCAACGTCGCTTTAATTAACCTCATTAATTTTATCTTCGCAAACGATGCAAATTTCATTTGTCCCTTTGTTTTAATTGGCCCCTCCCTCTCTTTCCCCTCGTGCAAACGCCTCGTTCAGAATTCACGTGCGATATGAAACATTCGTGATGTATCGCCACCTATTTAAATGAAACTTATTTGCCTGGAATTTATGTATTGGGAACGGAGGAGAGGAAGAAGCGGCCAGAATCGGTTCCAACAGAACTGTGGACAAACTTCAATTTGCATAGACATCAAAGAGAATTCTAAAATAGGTTTGAAACTTTCGAAACTTTAAACTGCACGCTATTAACGATGGTGATACCAATGATGGATGGAGAAAGAAATCGTTTTTGATTTGATTAATAACAATTGCGATCATGAATGCAATTTAATTGAATCTATCTTATTGAATATATTATATCAAATTATTTCTAATTGTTGTTTAAATCATTTTCTTTTTTTAGTTAGTGTTAAATTTGCATTTCTGATTATTAAAAAATTGTTTGGCTATTTGATTTAAGTTTTAAATGCGACGCTAATACAATTAGCCACAAGAATTTTATTAAGGAAATTGTTAATTATATTAATATTGATGTTGAATATAAATAATATCAATATTAATAATGAAAAATATACATATAAATATATTTTAATTGTATTAATGATTTTGATATCAATATTAATAATATTTATTAATCGAACCATGAAAATATTCGATTGAGTTCCAAAAAATTATAATAAATTAGGATTTA